AATACATGGACACAGAGGGTATATATAGGCTCAGAGTGAGGTATATATACCCTCTGTGTCCATGTATTGTCTGTAATGGCTTGATAAAGCTCCTGGAGAGCGAAACGTTGCCACAATAAAATGTCACATTAGTTGCACTTGTGTCCTTTTACTTTACATATTGTCGGTAATTCTACCAACTTTATTACATGATGAATAATGCAATATAATAGCTATTAGCGTATCTAGTGTTCCACCGACTTAAATGACTCATATGCATACATACATACATACATACATACATACATACATACATACATACATACATACATACATACATGCATACATGCATACATATATACATTTACACTTAAAAGTTCTACGTAGCAGAAAAGGAGAGTTCCTTTCATATTTTTTTTTACAAGAGATTTTATCTCGCCTAAGATCGCTTCAGATCTTCGTCCTAATAATTTTTATAAGTAACATTCTTAAACATTCTTAACATTTTTAAAGTTCGCAAGATGTGTCAGCCCAAGCGTTCATTTGGTCAGTAACTTGATTCTTGGAACATACGGTTGTTGTGACAACATATTACATATATGCGTCACATGATGAACGAATGTAATTTTTTTTAAGAGCAATAGTCAGAATGATGCTGATGTTGGCTGCCCGTCTTGTAGTATAATAGCAATCTCGTTGCTTTTCACTGTGTTGTGTTGAATGACGAACCTTGTGTAATATTAGGTATGTAACATTAAGGCCACACACACACACACACACACACACACACACACACACACACACACACACACACACACACACACACACACACACACACACACACACACACACACACACATCTCTCGTCAGTGCTGAAGGTTCTGCTGAAATAGTCCTCGTAGTTTAGTAGGTACAGCTTGACTCATAGCCTTGTAGATCAATGGTAAAGTGTTCGGCTCAAACCCGAATGACCTGAGCTCAATTCTGGGCACCTGCTGTTCTATTCGACTGTTGTGGATGGCATCCTAGGAGGGAGTCTGAGGACCCCAGTGGAAATAACCCCCACTTATAATCAAAAAGAAGCGCTAAGCCACAAGGACTATACAGAATAATAACCCCCACTGCTTGACTTTCATGGGTTATCCTGGGTTATTAACCATTCAGGGTAAACAGTCTGAATAAACTCCTCTTCCTCCTCCTCCTCCTCTTCCTCTTCCTCCTCTTCATCCTCCCCCTCCTCCCCCTCCTCCCCCTCCTCCTCCTCCTGCTTCCTCCCCCCCCATTTAGTTTCTTGGAAATATTGCGTTAGCTCAGAAAAAAATCCCCTTTAATAGTTGAGTTCATTCTGTTAACATATTATTCATTTCTTCACCTGAGTTTTAATTGACATATAAACACTTGTCAGACGTGAGTTCCCTTTAGTAGTCCTACACCAGCCTTAGCCACACTAACCCCTCCTCCTCCTCCTCCTCCTCCTCCTCCTCCTCCTCCTCCTCCTCCACCACCTCTTCCTCTCCTCCTCCTCCTCCTCCTCCCTATAGAGTTGGCCTTTATCAACACACCGCCACTTTTGAAATCCCTTCTTGTAGGCCCACACGAACACAGTTGGCAAACTATACTACTAAGTTGACTACTCAGGCTCACTTAAGTGGGGGAGTTGACCCAAGTTTGCCGTAGCAGGAGGTGTAATGGGTGAAACAGACTGGAGGGAGGGGGGAGAGGTGACTTATGTCTCTACACACCACAAGTTCCTCTTTCTCTACCCCCTAAAGAAGCAGTAATGGGGAAGTAGACGATAGGGGGTGACTGCTGTACACGCCACAGGTCCCCCTGCTCTCCATCTTCCCTCTGGAACTCTACTCATACTTTTTATCTTGGTAGTAGAAATAGTAGTGGAAGCAGAATCATTCGGGTTATTAACCCTGGAGGAATAATAATACAGGATTGCTAGGTGAGTAATTATGAGGAGACGATCGTACATCTCTCCCGCCTAGTATTCGACAACGGCACCTTTCGGTTGCTCTGGGAGCTCTCTTAGTGAACCATGATACACTCCTTGCGTTCGTATTAAAAAAAAATAGTTTGCTCCAGTTCTTATGAAAGCATTCAACCATAAAAAATGCTCTGAAAACATCCATCACACTTTTGCGTACCTTCATAAAACAAGGTTGTTTTATGAAGGCACGCAACCAATGAGAGTTTCATACGTATATTCTTAATTTTGCTACCACGTAGATCGTCTCCCACCCAGGTAGAGTGACCCAAAGATAAAAACACATTCACCGTTCATTCAGTAGTTCTCATGTAAGAAGTGAATTGATATCACATTTCAGATAACTATAAACCTTTATCCAGTTTGTATACGTGAAGAAAAAAGATATTGCATGTCACTAAACTGTTGTGTCAGCTGGTGATGCTCTGGGATAAACCAAGCAAATGGATCCCTACCTGATGCGACTCCCTTGCCAATCAGCGGGAAGATCTCATCCTGCGCCCAGGTCACGTCCACCAATCAGCTCCCTCATAATTTCCTCTTTTGTGTCGATTCAGCCAGTGGTCAGTTTCCTCACATCAATGCTGAAAGCGGCTACGATCACCCCGAGGCAGAGATCATATTATATCATGTATAATATGCACCCATAAAACAAACACACACACACGCACGTACACATGCCTGACCTAGGCGAAATAGCATATAATAGTCCCGTACTATACAGTGCTGAACTTCAAGGGTACCTAATGGAACTAAACGTAAAGAGAAAACTGGCAGGGGCGCAGGAAGCCAGACTTTAGAAGAAGGAACTAAGAAGGGATGAGAGAATTACAGAATGCATTGCAGTGCGAAAGGGAACTGGAAATAAAGTCAGGTGATGAGGTGATGGGTTACCTAGCTGGAGAGTGCCAGGAAGCACCAAAGAGCTTCATACCCAGGAGAAGAAATAACATGGAAGGAAGTCCTGGTTCAACTAGAGATGCAAACAGGCAAAAAAAAAAAAAAGAAAATGATCATAAAAGGGTGGAAAGACTGTACAAAGCAGAGGACAGACGAGAACAGAGAAGTGAGCTAATTAGTCAGAAACGGATGCTCGATAATGACAGCGTCAGTGGCCAAGTCTTAACCAGAACTGCTTCACAACCAGGCAGTAAAGATCAGGTGCTTCGACTGAAGAAGGAATGAGGAGAGCTCACGAAGGTGTCACCAGGGATTATGTGAAAGGGAGCAAAAGCGTTAATGGACACGGAACATTTTGCCAGAAATCTGGAAGAGAGCGGATGTAGTCCTTATGTTTAAGAAAGGAGACAAGCAGAAAGAATTCACCGACACATTGACATGAATAGCATGCAAGGTGATAGAGAAGATAGTCAGGAGAGTAGTAAAGCTATCTAAAGAAAAGTGATTTCATATACAGTTACCAGCACGGGTTCAGAGATGGCAAATGTTGTCTTGCCAACCTCCTGAAATTCTATGACAAAGTAGCCGAAGTGCCAGAGAGAGAGAGAGAAAGAACGGGTAGAGTGCATTTTCCTCCAGTGCAAAAAACATATATATATATATATATATATATATATATATATATATATATATATATATATATATATATATATATATATATATATATATATATATATATATATATATTATAAAAGCTTGTGCACATATCTCCCCTCAGATAAGTTACTGACGGATCTCCCTGCCTCAGCAGTGTCAGAACCTTCACTGATTATCCAGATGATTAGACAAGTAATTATCTCGTTAGGGTAGCACTGTGAGTGATGTGGATAGGATAATCAATGAGGTGGCCCAGCTTGGGTTAGAAAAGATGTAACTAAGAAAAGGCCTTTAAAAAAAACTGTATTTTGTTGTGAGAGGGAGAAAGAGGTGTTGGGAAGGACTTAGCTGGACTTTTCTAGTGAGACCTTGCTGGGAGGAGCATATATATGAACGGCTTCTGAGATGGACCTTTCTGAAGACATAATTTTAGGAGGTATCTACTTTCCAAGAGCTAACTTAAGAAGAACTACCTGGAAAGGACCCGTTCGGAGGCGTGACCCATCCTCACACTATATTTTCAGTTGAAAATTCCACACTTGTAATCTACCTGGAGTCTACTTGGAGGGTGTTCCGAGGATCATCGCCCCCGCGGTCCGGTCCATGACTGATTGGCAGTAAGCAGTGATGCTGCTTTTGTCTCGTAGTATTGCCTGAATATTCCTCTGGCATGAAGTTGATGACTTTAATGACAATTAATGACGTCAGGAAGATGTCACTCGCGCACCCCAAATGAGATATCACGTTTCTGCTATTTATTGCGAATTCTGTTGATTACATTACTGATTCTGTCTCGGATTCTGCTCGTCTGTTTCTGACCTTCTCATTCCTCCTATTCCCTTCTCATTCCTTCCCCATTTTCTTCTACCTCCTACCCCTCCATCTTATCATTTTGGCTGTCTAAGGATGAGTGATTGGGCGGGACGTGGATGTCTCCTGAGGCTTGGAGGGGCTAATGAAGATGCTGCTGCTGTTGTCTTAGTTTGTTCTTCCTTTGATATGCAGAGACGTTATCTCTCTCTCTCTCTCTCTCTCTCTCTCTCTCTCTCTCTCTCTCTCTCTCTCTCTCTCTCTCTCTCTCTCTCTCTCTCTCTCTCTCTCTCCCTCCCTCCCTCCCTCTCCCTCTCCCTCTCCCCCCCCTCTCTCTCTCTCTCTCTCTCTCTCTCTCTCTCTCTCTCTCGTATCTGCTTTGGTTTCTGTCTACGCTTTAGAACAGTAGTCCCCAACCTTTTAGTATAAAAGGACCAGTTTGAAAAGCCAAATTTAAAGGAGGGCCGCATTTTGTATTTTTTTTATGAATAAGAACAATAATAATCTGTAATTGTTGACACTGCAGTGTGGAACCTACATAAAAGTGATTTCATAATTTCATGTGAGGGCCACATACGGCCCTCGGGCGGCAGATTGGGGACCCCTTCTTTAGATGATACTGGGGAACTGATCAGACTAAGGTGGCGTGTTTATTTGTCAGGTATGGAGGCACTGGAGAGGGCATTGGGGTACTGGGAAGATGCCCTGGCGGCCTACACCTCAGGAGTGACTGGTGGGGTGGCTCTCACCTCACAGGAAGAGGCTGAGTTCACCGCCCTTCTCCAGAGAGTCATCGACGACGCCTACAGCCTCCAGGACCAGTGCGAACACCTATTCCTCCACCAGGTAACTCCTCAACAATTGATCCAGACACTGAAAATGGAAACTAGACCTCTTTATCCGTCCTGGATCATACCATGATGGACCGAGAAGCCTTCTAAGTTTAATTTCTAATTTGTGGCTTAGCTGTACATTGTACCAGGGATATCATTTTAACTTTTAATCTTCAGGTAATTCCTCCCTACCATGGTAAAATTACGCAACGGGGCGAACTTATGTTGGAGGAAGATTAGCTAATATTCCTAGAATTAGGGAAATAAACGTTGAATGATTCATACGGGTTAAGATTTTTTTGCGAGTTCAATTATAATATCTAGGAAGCTGGCAGTAATGATGCAGGAAGTGTACTAACTTAGTAGAAAGAACATGATAAAGCTCACGCTCGCTGTTAGGCTAGTTTGGGAGTATACCTTGCGATTATTGCTGAATCACCCGCACGGGCTTATTGCTTCACACGCAAAAAAAAAATTGACTCAGTTATCAGTTTATCATTCAGTTTTCTGCTTCTTAGATGTCAAACCCTAAAAGAAATGCCTGTTGATCTGCGTATCTTCAAGTTCAGCTATTAGCTGTGTTTTTTGTTCAGTGTTGGTAATGATTCTTTTCCTAAGAGGGGCTCAGTTTCTGTTTCTTACTTAAGAATGGTTTAGAAAGACACGTAAGCAAACACTATAACATATTTATTAGAAAACGTTTCGGTCCTGGGACCTTGATCACTTCTAACATACAGAGGTAGGAAGACATTATATATAGGCGGAGAGTGAGGTGTGACGCACGTGACCTGAGGAATGTCATAAGAACATAAGAATGGAGGAACATTGTTGAAGGCCTACTGGCCCATGCGAGGCAGGTCCCTATCAAAAACAACCTCTGCCTATGATGAGGACGGGTAGACGATGAAATCACGTGACTCCTGTGTTGTTGGGTTGGTGCTGCTTAAGTATCATGTATGCCAATGTTTTTGAAATTTTGTAGTTTCCAGTGTTGCGTTCTATAGTGTCGGTGACGGCGATTAGTGAGGCTTCTAGGCACCGTCGGCGTCTGAGGTCTGGTTCGGTGAGAACGAGTTGTGCCTCATTCCAGTTCATCAAATGCCCCGTGGAGTCTCTGTGGAGGACACATGCGTACCTTACATCGTCTCTGTTAGAGGCATTTCGATGCTCATTCAGGCGGACTTCAAGATCTCTGCCTGTCTCGCCTACATATCCACAACCTACATAGAGACAGAAACATGAAATAAGAATCTGTGAACTTCAGGTGAAGAGGACCTCAGTTGGAGATCGAAATATAATTTTTTTTTCTTATTTCGTGTTGCTCTCTCCATGTCTCTTTCACCCTGTCAATGACAAGTGTTTATTATACTAAAATTTGGACATAATATGCTGGGCTACCTTGGTGGAGATGGTTAATTGGTAGTGAGTAGTGGTGGTAGTGGTAGTAGGTTGTAGATGTGTTAGTGGTGGTAGTGGTAGTAGGTTGTGGATGATATATATTAGTGGTGGCAGTGGTAGTAGGTTGTAGATGTTAGTGGTGGTAGTAGGTTGTAGATGATGTATGTTAGTGGTGGTAGTGGTAATAGGCTGTAGATGATGTATGTTAGTGGTGGTAGTGGTAGTAGGTTCTGTATGTGTTGGTGGTGAAGGTAACAGGATCAGGTGAGCAGTGGTTTACCTATAAACAGTTCCGGGAGTCACTGCCCCCGCGGCCTGGACACAGACGAGGACTCTTGGCTAACAACCAGATTATTCAGGATGGTGTCAGCCGCACGCAGTCCAAAGTAGGCATCACAGCCCAGCTGATTAAAAAATGAAGTCTATTGGTAATTCTCCATATGCATGAAGTGTTATTGAGTTTTCTCTTTGTGTACTATTTTTCATTGGAGATATTTTGCACTGTCTGACGAGCCTTTTGCTTTTCTAAAAGTGATTTTGGTGTGCAGATTTGGGAACACTCCGGAATTTTCCAGGTGTAAATTATGGGTGGCAACTTCTGTAGATAAAGTTGGTGATTATGACCTGCCTTACTCCACAGCATTCTGTGTTGTTCCGCTCTACCAGTGTGACCCCTGTGGCTTCAGAAGCGGCATGTGACTCTTACGAGCGTAGGACCCTCACTTCAGCCTCCTCCTACGAATCCTTTGTCTCTGCTTCAGGTGACGTGAGTATCCCGGGCTTCATACAGCTTTCTGCAACAGTTGTTACCATGCTGGTTTCCTACGAGTTTTTTTTTTTTTGTCTCTAAAACATATTATAAAACTAAACGTAAATGAATTGCAGTTAAAACAGATATAACCTTTAATTAAATAATCGTCTTGTGTGGACCAAATTTTTCTCGAGTCACTGTAACTGTCTTTAGGTATTCCTATTAACCTCTCGCTTGTTACTACAGTACTTATCCACGTGTTTTCAAGGCTTATTTCAGGTATATAGAAGTAAGATTAGGAACAAGATAGGCCCACTCAACAGTAACTCAGGTCAGATCACTGACAGTGATAAGGAAATGATTGTGAAATTTTTGACTCTTATTTCCTCTCAGTTTTTACGCAGGAAGATACTAGCAAAACTCCAGAAATAATATATTATGTAGAACAGGATGATAAACTATGCACGATTAGGATAACTAGTGACTATGGTCCTCAGACAAATAGAGAAATTAAAACCCAACAAATCCCCAGGTCCTGATGAACTGTTTGCAAGGGTTTGAAAGGAATGTAAAGAGGAGCTTAGCAAATCTTTGGCTAGTCTTTTTCAACATATTTCTACAAACTGATCAATATATTGGTTATAACTATGACCATAATTTTTAAAGGGGTGGACCAGTAAGCCAGCGGAAGGCCTCGGTCAAATAACCTAAAGCTCCAATGGCGGGTCATCTGACTAAAACCCGCGTCGGGAAACACTTGCTCTGTTTCCTGACGAACCTTACCTAACCTAAATCACTACAGACTGGCATAGTGCCAGACAAGTGGAAAATGTCAAATGTAATACCTATTTACAAAGCAGGTGATAGGTCCCTAGCTTCGAACTATAGACCAATAAGCCTTACCTCCATAGTAGGAAAACTTATGGAATCAGTAATTGCCGGGGCAATTCGTAGATATCTTGAAAGGCCTAAATTGATTAATGAATCTCAGCATGGTTTTACAAAGGGGTGTTCCTGCCTTACGAATTTACTAACTTTTTTCACCAAGGTATTTGAGGAGGTAGATCATGGTAATGAATACAATATTGTGTATATGGACTTCAGTAAGGCTGTTGATAGAGTTCCACATTAGAGGCACATGGAATAGGAGGAGAAATCTTCCTGGATAGAGGCATGGTTGACAGACAGCAGAGAGTTTGCATCAATGGGGAGAAATCAGAGTGGGGGGCGCATCACTAGTGGTGTTCCACAGGTGTCAGTGTTGGGCATTTTGTTGTTCACAATTTATATAAACAACTGATGAGGGAATAAACAGTGACATAAGCAAGTTTGATGATGATGCCAATATAGGTCGCCTAATTCATTCTGAGGACATTAGAGCACTCCAGGTGTAGAAAGGTGTAGAATTAGGGGGGATATGATTGAGGTGTATAAATGGAAAGCAGGAATAAATAAAGGGAATGTAAATAGTGTGCTAAAATTATTTAGCCAAGCAATGGTTTTAAGTTGGAAAAATTCAAATTCAGGAAGGATATAGGAAAGCACTGGTTTGGTAATAGAGTTGTGGATGTGTGAAACAACCTCCCGAGTACTGTCAGAGAAGCTATACTTTGTGTTGTTTTAAAAATAGGTTGGATAAATACATGAGTGGGTGTGAGTTGGGCCTGACTAGCTTGTTTTAATAGGTCTGATGCCGGGCTCCTTAAGTGTATGTGACCTGACCCGACTAGGTGGGTCATTGGCTTAAGCTGGTAGGAGGAATGGACCTGCCTCGCATGGGCCAGTTGGTCTGCTGCAGTGTTCCTTCAATATAAAGCACAAAATATATCACTAAACCTCATTAGGAAAATTTACTAAAGCCTTTAAAGCATTGAACAGAATATGTCTGTTTTTTTCCTCTGTTTTGTTGGCATCACTTCCATTTAATCCCATTAATACTGTGGTTTCTCCAGATCGCAGATCTGCGGGACCTGGAGGAGTTTGATGAAGCCCTATACCCTCTATACATGGCGGCGCTGAAACAACACGAGGAAGGTGGCATACCTTACAGGTACCTGTGTACCTTTAGTGTTCTGTGTTCTTTCTCTTCTTTAACTCTACCATACCTACTCCTTCATTGGTGGCAAGAAAGCAACACTAAATGTGTAGTATTATAAGCCTATATGGTAATCATGTTTTGTGTTGGAATTGGATATTTCTGTTTCTGAGCAGCAGTGAGATGGTTTAAATTATATCTAGTAATATGGTTTTTAACTGGAGAGGAGTACCTAATCCTGCACATGACTAAAAGGCAAGAATGCCTCAAGGCTGCCACCATCCAAATCTCAAACACCATTTCAGAAATGCTTGATAGAGTATTGCTTTCCATGGAATCCTACCTTTGTAGATACTCAGGTATCCCTCAGACACCCCACATATACTACATTTTTCTACACCCACCTTCCTCTCAGCAACTGGGATATCACCTATACCTCCTATCAGCCCGACACACTCTTCCTCTTACACCAGACACTTGGTCATTATAAGAAAGGAGTGACATGTTCTCTATAATTTAATAAAAGCTTACATTGAGAGAAATGTTTAAATAAAGGCTGGTTGTCTCTGCGTGTCTTTGATTTACTATGTTTTGGATTGCTATCTATCTTCGACATTATATGTATTTGCAGAGACGTGCGCACAGACCGAGTGAGGTGTGGGAGCGATGTGGAATATATATGCAAGATTCATTGTATCCGCCTAGCTTGCCAGCTGCTATTTTCAAAAGATGAAACAAAGCAGTACTTTGCTGATACTGGCCGACAGATAATTGCTGACCTTCTTATACGAGCAGATAAGGTAATGTTTCCAAAGATAAGTATTTTATATTAATGTTACAATTATACCACATGAGTGAAAATGTGTTGCCTCTCATATGTTAGAGAAAAGAACAAAGTCATATTTAAATACAGTACAGTGGGCCCCCGGTTTACGATCAGCTCCCAATGCGACCAATTATGTAAGTGTATTTATGTAAGTGCGTTTGTATGGGTATGTTTGGGGGTCTGAAATGGACTAATCTAATTCACAATATTCCTTATGGGAACAAATTCGGTCAGTACTGGCACCTGAACATACTTCTGGAATGAAATAATATCGTAAACCGGGGGTCCACTGTATATGCAAATTATCATTGTGAAAAAAAAAATTAGATGGGGCTCAGGCTGTGATTTATATTTCTACATTTTTGTCATTCAGTAGGTTACCTAATTTTTTAAATTATTTTTGTTAGATATACCATATTGTGCAAGTGCACATTCTTCCATCAGGCCTCGAGTTTCTTATGCATTGGTATTTTTGTTATCTCCTGTATGTACTACACAGTATACAATATGGTATAAACCTTGGTAATAAATACCGACAAGTTGGTTTAGAAAGACACGTAAGCAAACACTATAACATATTTATTAGAAAACGTTTCGGTCCTGGGACCTTGATCACTTCTAACATACAGAGGTAGAAAGACATTATATATATAGGCGGAGAGTGAGATGTGACGCACGTGACCTGAGGATTGTCATAAGAACATAAGAATGGAGGAACACTGTAGAAGGCCTACTGGCCCATGCGAGGCAGGTCCTTATCAAAACAACCCCTGCCTATGATGAGGACGGGTAGACGATGAAATCATGTGACTCCTGTGTTGTTGGGTAGGTGCTGCTTAAGTATCATGTATGCCATTGTTTTTGAAATTTTGTAGTTTCCAGTGTTGCGTTCTATAGTGTCGGTGACGGCGATTAGTGAGGCTTCTAGGCACCGTCGGCGTCTGAGGTCTGGTTCGGTGAGAACGAGTTGTGCCTCATTCCAGTTCATCAAATGCCCCGTGGAGTCTCTGTGGAGGACACAGGCATACCTTACATCGTCTCTGTTAGAGGCATTTCGATGCTCATTCAGGCGGACTGCAAGATCTCTGCCTGTCTCGCCTACATATTTCTTGGGACAGAACCCACAGGGGATAGTGTAGACGCCTGCTGTAGAAGTTAGAGGTGTGGGGCTGCGTTTCGTAGTGAGGTCTTTGATAGAGGATGTGTTTATGGTGGAAACATAGATGTTACTCATAGCAAGTGCCCGGCGAGTATTCGTGGCAACATCGCCACATGGGAGTACTATGAACTGTTTAGGGGGCTGTTCCATGGGTGGTTTGTTGAGGATAGCTTGTGCCTTGAGTCTGCAATCTCGGATGAAGAACGATGGGAACTGAAGACGTGTAAAGGCTTGTGTTATGTAAGTGCATTCTTCTTCTAGAAAACAAGGGCTGGAGATGCGAAGAGCTCTCAAGAAGAAGCCAATGAGGACTCCTCTCTTAGTGCGGGTGTCTTGGTGTGAATAAAAGTGTATAAGATCGTCCTTGTTGGTAGGTTTTCTATACACTTTGAAGAGAAGTTTGTCACTGTCGGGAGATCTGCACAGTAGAACGTCGAGGAAAGGAAGTTTGCCATCATTTTCGAGTTCAAGTGTAAACTTTATTGATGGTTCAACTGCATTGATCTTGTTGAGAAGGGCCTGGATATTGAGATGTCTCGGATAGAAAACCAATATATCATCAACGTATCTTAGCCAGGTAATGGTGTTGGGAATGAGGGTGCTGAATTTCTCTGTCTCCAGGTTTTCCATAAAGAGGTTGGCAAGCACAGCACTGAGCGGGCTGCCCATTGCCATCCCAAAGCATTGTTTGTAACAGTTGTCCTGATACTTGAAGAAGTTGAAATTAACACACAGTTCCACTAGATTGATGAAATCTAGAAGAGGTAAAGGGAGGTCGTGGTTTTCAGTGAGCCTCTGTCTCAGAATGTTGATTGCAGCGTCAGTAGGAACGTTGGTAAAGAGGGCTGTGACATCGAAGGAAGCCATGCTATTGTTTTTGACATTCAGGTTGGAAATTCGGGAGAGAAGGTCACCTGAGACACACAAACCTGGCATCCCACTACGGCCTATCACTTCGGGCATAGGGAGTGCACCACACAGACTAGCTGGCCACCTTGCCAAATACCTTTCAGCGCTTCTGGGCACTATCAGTCAAGCCCACCTCAAACACTCAGGTGACCTTCTCTCCCGAATTTCCAACCTGAATGTCAAAAACAAAAGCATGGCTTCCTTCGATGTCACAGCCCTCTTTACCAACGTTCCTACTGACGCTGCAATCAACATTCTGAGACAGAGGCTCACTGAAAACCACGACCTCCCTTTACCTCTTCTAGATTTCATCAATCTAGTGGAACTGTGTTAATTTCAACTTCTTCAAGTATCAGGACAACTGTTACAAACAATGCTTTGGGATGGCAATGGGCAGCCCGCTCAGTGCTGTGCTTGCCAACCTCTTTATGGAAAACCTGGAGACAGAGAAATTCAGCACCCTCATTCCCAACACCATTACCTGGCTAAGATACGTTGATGATATATTGGTTTTCTATCCGAGACATCTCAATATCCAGGCCCTTCTCAACAAGATCAGTGCAGTTGAACCATCAATAAAGTTTACACTTGAACTCGAAAATGATGGCAAACTTCCTTTCCTCGACGTTCTACTGTGCAGATCTCCCGACAGTGACAAACTTCTCTTCAAAGTGTATAGAAAACCTACCAACAAGGACGATCTTATACACTTTTATTCACACCAAGACACCCGCACTAAGAGAGGAGTCCTCATTGGCTTCTTCTTGAGAGCTCTTCTTATCTCCAGCCCTTGTTTTCTAGAAGAAGAATGCACTTACATAACACAAGCCTTTACACGTCTTCAGTTCCCATCGTTCTTCATCCGAGATTGCAGACTCAAGGCACAAGCTATCCTCAACAAACCGCCCATGGAACAGCCCCCTAAACAGTTCATAGTACTCCCATGTGGCGATGTTGCCACGAATACTCGCCGGGCACTTGCTATGAGTAACATCAACGTTTCCACCATAAACACATCCTCTATCAAAGACCTCACTACGAAATGCAGCCCCACACCTCTAACTTCTACAGCAGGCGTCTACACTATCCCCTGTGGGTTCTGTCCCAAGAAATAAGTAGGCGAGACAGGCAGAGATCTTGCAGTCCGCCTGAATGAGCATCGAAATGCCTCTAACAGAGATGATGTAAGGTACGCCTGTGTCCTCCACAGAGACTCCACGGGGCATTTGATGAACTGGAATGAGGCACAACTCGTTCTCACCGAACCAGACCTCAGACGCCGACGGTGCCTAGAAGCCTCACTAATCGCCGTCACCGACACTATAGAACGCAACACTGGAAACTACAAAATTTCAAAAACAATGGCATACATGATACTTAAGCAGCACCTACCCAACAACACAGGAGTCACATGATTTCATCGTCTACCCGTCCTCATCATAGGCAGGGGTTGTTTTGATAAGGACCTGCCTTGCATGGGCCAGTAGGCCTTCCACAGTGTTCCTCCATTCTTATGTTCTTATGACATTCCTCAGGTCACGTGCGTCACATCTCACTCTCCGCCTATACATGTATATATAATGTCTTTCTACCTCTGTATGTTAGAAGTGATCAAGGTCCCAGGACCGAAACGTTTTCTAATAAATATGTTATAGTGTTTGCTTATGTGTCTTTCTAAACCAGTATACAATATGCAAAACAACCACTCTGAGAAAATTAGTGAAGTTGCAAGAACTTTCGTGATTTCTCACACTATCATGGGCCTTGATGATGTGAGAAATCACGAAAAGTGCTTTTAACTTCACTATTTTTTCACAGTGGTTGTTTTGCATATTGTGATATCACATATTTACTGTGATCTTTTATCAGTATACTACAATATATGTGTAATATACTGGAATGTGTTGCCAGATCCTGTAAGTACCAATCTATGTATGTACTATATAAGCAACAGAATAATGATAGAATAGTGAAATTCCAAGTGCTTTTGTGACTTCTCACATTATCAAGGAACTATAAAAACAGTACACCAAAGAAGAAGGAAGGTATATAAAGAGTCAAGACTACACCTCACCATCACATCCCACAACAAAGCAACACCTCACACACACATGACAACACCTCACTCTGTGAAACCCACTTAATACTCTTCCCAAGAATTAAGATTTATTACTTGTTTAATGTATCATTAAATTCTTTCCAAATTTTATTAATTATAAATGAATCCAATTTATATAAACCAAAGGAAATATTCATATTATTTTTAAAACTGCTTTTTATGAAACATGATTCAGTTATATCCCTGTCGACCATGGATTTGCTTGATACAACTTTCTCAGCCTTTTGAAAATCAGTTGGATGGTTAAAATCTCTCACATGAATTAACAGAGCATTAGAATCTTGTCCAGTTCTAATGCTATATTTATGTTGTTTTTAATCTTAGTTCAAGACTTTTACCAGTTTGACCATAATTAACTTTTTCTAATGCTCTATTTATTCATGTGAGAGATTTTAACCATCCAATTGATTTTCAAAAGGCTGAGAAAGTTGTATCAAGCAAATCCATGCTCGACAGGAATATAATTTAATCATGTTTCATAAAAAGCAGTTTTGAAAATAATGTGAATATTTCCTTTGGTTTGTATAAATTGGACTCACGAAAGCACTTGGAATTTCACTACTCTTTCACAGTGGTTGTTTTGCATATTCTGATATCACCTGTTTACTGTGATCTTATTGCACTATATAAATTAGTTCCATACTAAGAGTTAAACAGTACCTAAGGAATAAAGCTGCATGAGGAATTCTGGTTCAGTGTTTTCATATTAATAATATATTAATAATTAATAATTCATTAATAATAATAATAATGCATTTGCATTAGATGCAGGATGAATATAGCTTTGGATTTTTATAAATTGCTTCTTGGAAATAGGAAATATGGTGCTGTAATTGTTATTTATCAAGATTTTATAAGCTTCTCTTATTGGTTATCAACTAAAAAGAATGAAAATTAACATCTTATTTTTTACATAACCTTAATTATTATAGGACCCAAAGGATGTTGTGCAAGCATATGAAGACATGCTCGAGTTCCTCACCAGCTGTGATTGGGCAGTAGTGGAGGCGGAGCTTCAGGCGAGAGGCGTTAAGGCACTGACGTTTTATGATGTCGTTCTGGATTTCATCTTAATGGATGCTTTTGAGGACCTGGAGAATCCACCTTCTTCTGTAACTGCTGTAGTACAAAACAGATGGCTCTCGAATGGATTCAAAGAATCTGTAAGTTCTTATAAGTTATAGTATAATTTTTGTTTCATATGGTACATGGATATGTTTTTATGAAGTGCACTATTATTTGCAGTAGTTTCAACAATGGAGCCCCTTTCTTAAAAAGCTGTGTTTTAAGTGAAATTGTGTTAACCAGGCTGAAAAGCATATAGGAGAAGTAGGGGTTACATCCTTGAGGCCTCAAAAAAAAAAAAGTAATCAAAATCAGGAAAAATAGTATTTTATCAATGCATTGGCCTTTATTGTAGTGAGGTGAACATTTATAAAATACATTAAATGTAGCTTAGAATATTATATAGAACTATTTTTTCTTACCTTAAATTCTTTTTGGTGATACTGTACTTATTGATCTTGAAATGTATGGACAGGATTTCTGTTGCCTTACTAGGCCGAGATGGGTGGCTGTGGATCTTGTGTTGATAAACAGAATGAGTAAGGCATGCATTACACTTCACTACTTCCAACCATACATAAATTAACAAGAGACTTGGCAGACATTACAAAATACTTCCAATAAAATAGAGGGGTCCACAAGTAAATTAAAAGAGAGCTCATTTAGTGGCAGAGAACCTCGACTCTTCACTGCCTTCCTTTGTACATAAAAATAATTACTGTACTAACAAACCTCTGGCTGTCTTCAGAAGAAAACTTTACAAGTTTCTTAAATAAGTTCCTGATCAGCCATGCTGGGGTTTATACATTGGGCTGTGTGCAGTCAGTAGTAGGAGTCTGGTTGATCAGGTCTTGAGCTACTGGGAGGCCTGGTCTAGAACTGAGCCACTGGGGGTGTTAACCCCCCTGAAGCATTCTTCAGGTATCCTTAAGTCAGATATTTGCACTTATTGTCTTTGCCACCTACAGCATCACTAGTATTCCTCTTGGGTACCAGGGTTAATATCCAGAGATGAGATGGGGTGATGAAGATACAAAATTTATTAAATATCTCATATCTGAGTGAGGTATGGAACACACACACACAGCAACTGGCAGTGGAAATGGTTGTTGACACAAACAGTGGCTTTGCCCATATAATAACTGGTGGATAGAGAGGTGTGTTCAGATAACATTTGGCATTCAGACTGGACTAACACTTAATTTTTCCAAAATTGGTCATTGTCTCATTCAGTTCAGACTTGGGTACACTGTATTAATTGCCTTTTATTAAAAATGCTTTATCCGGATGTATACCAGTCAAGACTACTCTTCTCAAATTAGAGGTGTGAGTGTATTGTTTCACTCACCAACACCTGCTTCTGTAAGTATTGTAACAAACTAAATATAAGCCTTCAAAGCCTCCAAGGTACATTACACTGTAATTTGCCACTATATTTTCTCATATAACCCCTTCTCCTGTATATATTATTAATTGTAAAAGGAGAAACTTTCGTTCTTCCTTTTGGACCACCCCACCACGATGGGATACAGCCGGTGTGTTGAAAGAAAGAAAGATTTTTTCATATACAGTATCTTAATTGCCAGGAGTAAGCGACTAGTAACCTCTTTTCCTGTATAAATTACTAAATGTAAAAAAAAAAAGAAATACTTTTGTTTCTTCTTATTTGAGTCACCCTGCCTCAGTGGGAGACAGCTGGCATGTTGGAAAAAAAAAAAAATTCTTTACGTTATGGTACACTTTACAGTTTATTTTCAATAACTTATGTCTCAATGGCTTTGAAAATAATTTGCACAAGCAGGTTATGTCTAGCTTTATGTTATGGACTTTTCATCTCAAACTCAGCTACAATCATCTCTACAGATTATTTCCTGAAGCTTCAATATTTGTTGCCTCAGTAGTCTCCAGTAAACTGTATACTGTATATAACTGAAGAATGGGGTAAAATAAAGCCTAAGCAAGGCTTCATTGAATGTTTCCCTCAAAGGTGAACATCTTTTAACAGCATTTTGCTCAAATATTTTTGGATGGTGTCTCTTATAAGAGTAGTCCTTGTTGCTGGTGAAAGGCTTTTGATCTAAGGAATTGGAGCTGCTGTCCCTTGTCTTGGATCAACCCTAATTGCCTGTCATAAAATCTGTGGGTTTAGCTCTTCTTTCTAAAATAGTAGTAGTAAGAATAATAATAATAATTAATAAAAAACAGTGTTAGGATGAAGTGTAAGCTTATTGAACTGTTTCACTCAAATTCAGCAGTCTCACTTTACCAGTTGTCTTAATTTTGCCTCAACAATTTTTCTTTTAATTTTACAAAATTTCTTATTTTGTACCTTTAAATGGTTGTTGATGAGGCATCATTCACTTCTTTGATATTTTTTTTTATTGGAACTGTCTCTCTTCTTTTATCAGGGCTCCTTCATACTGTATTAACCTGGTGATGTGAAAAGTTTAACAGTAGAATTCTATATATAAAATAATTAATTGATGTCTGTTGGCCAGTATGCTGAGTAGGAAATAAAATGACTGTAATTAGTATTTTATAACATGTAAACCACACAATATCCTAAAACATGTAAACCTCGCATTGTAATCTTTATAGAGAATAAACTTGATTTGATTTGATTTGATTTGAAGATAACTGTAGTGCTGTAGTCAACTCCAGATATTATTATTATTATTATTACTACAGTATTCCTACTATTTGTAGCAGTATTGGTAGAATGCTTTAAGGCAACTCCAATTACTTTAATGTTTATTAAGAAACATTTGCAGGCTGTTTGTTTCACTGTTTTAGGCACTATCTACTGCTGTATGGAGTGTACTAAGAGCCAAGCGACGCATGCTGAAGTACCAAGATGGCTTCATTTCGCATTTTTACGATGTTTCCGAACACCTCTCTCCAGTTCTTGCCTGGGGATTTATGGGACCAGACGAAAATGTCAAGGAACTCTGCTTATTTTTTAAGGTAATTTATAAGGTTTAGTATTGTTATAATGGGGATTTAGAGAGTAAGTTATCATGTTTAATAATTCCTGGACATTGGAGAAGTAAATTTACCGTCTCAATAACCCCTCCTCAGCCCTCTGGATAATAGTTTTGGTAATCCCACACCTCCTTTTAATCTCCAAACTATGGATTCTCTGCATTATATTCACACCACACATTGCCCTCAGACATGACATCTCCACTGCCTCCAGCCTTCTCCTTGTTGCAACATTGACAACCCATGCCTCACACCCATACAAGAACCTTGGTATAACTATACTCTCATACATTCCCCTCTTTGCTTTCATGGATAAAGTTCTTTGTCTCCACAGACTCCTCAGTGCACCACTCACCTTTTTTCTCTCGTCAATTCTATGCTTCACCTCATCTTTCATAGACCCATCTGCTCACACGTCCACTCCCAAATATCTGAACACATTCACCTCCTCCATACTCTCTTCCTCCAACCTGATATCCAATCTTCCATTACCTAATTTTTTTTGTTATCCTCATCACCTTACTCTTTCCAATATTCACTTTCTACTTCCTTCTTTTACATACCCTACCAAACTCATCAACCAACCTCTGCAACTTCTCTTCAGAATCTCCCAAAAGCACTGTCATCAGCAAAGAGCAACTGTGATAACTCCCATTTGTGTTAGATTCTTTATCTTTTAACCCCACACTTCTTGCCAACACCCGAGCATTCACTTCTCTTACTGCTCCATCTATAAATGTATTGAACAACCATGGTGACATCACACATGCCTGTCTAAGGCCTAGTTTTACTGAAAAATAATCCCCTTCTCTCCTACATACTCTAACCTGAGCCTCACTATCCTCATAAAAACTTTTCACTGCTTTCAATTCAATAACCTACCTCCTATTAAATTCATTTGCAACATCTGCCACATTGCCCCCCCTGTCCACCCTGTCATATGCCTTTTCCAAATCCATAAATGCCACCAAAACCTCTTTACCCTTATCTAAATACTGTTCACCTGTGTGTTTCACTGCAAACACTTGGTCTACACACCCCCTACCTTTCCTAAAGCCTCCTTGTTCATCTGCTATCCTGCTCTCTGTCTTACTCATAATTCTATCAATAATAACTCTACCAAACACTTTACCAGGTATACTCAACAGACTTCTTTCTTTCTTTCAACACACCGGCCGTATCCCACCAAGGTGAGATGGCCCAAAAGGAAAAACAAAAGTTTCTCCTTTTACATTTAGCAATAGATACAGGAGAAGGGGTTACTAGCCCCTTGCTCCTGGCATTTTAGTAGCCTCTTATGACACGTATGGCTTACGGAGGAAGAATTCTGTTCCACTTCCCCATGGAGATAAGAGGAAATAAACAAGAACAAGAACTAGTAAGAAAAGAGAAGAAAACCCAGAGGGGTGTGTATATATATGCTTGTACATGCATGTGTAGTATGACCTAAGTGTAAGTAGAAGTAGCAAGACGTACTCGAAATCTTGCATGTTTACGAGACAGAAAAAAGACACAGCAATCCTACCATCATGTAAAACAGTTACAGGCTTTCATTTTACACTCACTAAACAGACTTATTCCCCTATAATTTTTACACTCTCTTTCGTCCCCTTTGCCTTTATACAAAGGAACTATGCATGCTTTCTGCCAGTCCTTAGGTACCTTACCCTCTTCCATACATTTATTAAATAAAAGCACTAACCACTCCAGAACTATATCCCCACCTGCTTTTAACATTTCTATTTTCATCCCATCAATACCAGCTGCTTTACCCCCTTTCATTCTACTCATTGCTTCACGCACTTTCCCCACACTCACAACTGGTTCTTCCTCACTCCTATAAGATGTTATTCCTCCTTGCCCTATACATGAAATCACAGCTTCCCTATCTTCATCAACATTTAACAGTTCTTCAATATATTCCCTCCATCTTCCCGATACCTCTAACTCTTCATTTACTAACTCTCCTCTCCTATTTTTAACTAACACATCCATTCTTTCCCTAGGCTTTCTTAACTTATTAATCTCACTCCAGAACTTTTTCTTATTTTCAACAAAATTTGTTGATAACATCTCACCCACTCTCTCATTTGCTCTCATTTTATATTGCTTCACCACTCTTTTTCTCTCCATATACTCCTTTCACCTTGCATCACTTCTACTTTGTAAAAACCTCTCATGTGCTAGCATCACTCTTCTTCCCTCCCACACCCACTTTCCTGTAACCACAAACTTCAGCTGAACACCCTAACACTATATTCTTAAATTTATCCCATACATCTGCCCCATTGCCTGTATTCTCACTAGCCCATCTGTCCTCCAACAGTTGTTTATATCTTACTCTAACTACCTCCTCCTTTAGTTTGTAAACCTTCACTTCTCTCTTACTTGCTGGTTCTGTTTTCCTTGTATCCCATCTACCTTTTACTCTCACTGTAGCTACAACTAAAAAGTGATCTGATATATCTGTGGCTCCTCTATAAACATGTATATCCTGAAGTCTGCCCAACAGTCTTTTATCTTCCAATATGTAGTCCAGCAAACTACTGTCATTTTACCCTACATCACATCTTGTATATTTATTTATCCTCTTTTTCTTAAAATATGTATTACCTATAACCAAACCTCTTTTGATACAAAGTTCAATCAAAAGCTTCACATTATCATTTACACCTGGCACCCCAAACTTACCTACCACACCCTCTCTAAATGCTTCTCCTGCTTTAGCATTTAGGTCCCCTACCACAATTACTCTTTCACTTGGCTCAAGAGTTCCTCCCAAAATATCTCTCTCCCCTCTACACTCCTCTCTTCTCCAGGTGCATACACACTTATTATGACCCAGTTTTTACATCTGACCCTTATTTTAATCCACATAATCCTTGAATTTATACATTTATATTCCCTCTTCTCTCTCCATAACTGATCCTTTAACATTATTGCTACCCCTTCCTTAGCTCTAACTTTCTCAGATACTCCTGACTTAATCCCATTTATTTCTCCCCACTGAAGCTCCCCTACCCCCTTCAGCTTTGTTTCACTTAGGGCTAGGACATCCAGCTTCCTTTCATTCATAACCTTTGCAATCACTTCTTTCTTATCATCTGCAATACTTCCACGCACATTCAAACATCCCAATTTTATAAAGTTCTTCTTTTTAGTAATTTGTACAAAAGGGGTTACTAGCCCATTGCTCCCAGCATCTAGTTGCCTCCTACGACATGCATAGCTTACAGAGGAAGAATTCTGTTCCACTTCCCCCTGGAGATAAGCAGAAATAAACAAGAACAAGAACTTCGAAGAAAATAGAAGAAAACCCAGAAGGGGTAGTATATATAAAATTCAAGAGAAATATGTGAATTCTTATGTATTGATTGCATGTACACCTGTATTAATATACTGTATGTATGCTTAGAGGGTGTATAAATCTGTAGTGGAGGGGAGAAGGGGTAGGGGTCATCCTAGGAAAGGATGGAGGGAGAGAGTAAAAGAGGTTTTGTGTGCAAGTGGCTTGGGCATACAGCAGGCATATGTGAGGGCGTTAGTTAGGAGTGAGTGGAGACGAATGGTTTTGGGACTTGACAAGCTGTTGGAGTGTGAGCAAGGCAGTATTTTGTGAAGGGATTCAGAGAAACCAATTAGCTGGACTTGAGTCCTGGAGGTGGGAAATACAATATCTACACTTTAAAGAATGGGTTTGGGATGTTTGCTGTTTGGAGTGACATCTGAACTGTTGTATCTGCATGCCTCTGCAAAGACAGTGATAGGTGTGAATGATGGTGAAAGTGTTTTCTTTTTATTTGGTCACTCTGCTTTGGTGGGAAATGGCCAGCATGTTAAAGAAAAAATAAAAATTAAAGCCTTCTTACTTAGTACAGTATTTTCCTTGTTGCTTTGTTGAGATCTTCAGTATTATAAAGCAAGTTTAGCATTACAGGTTGGCCATCGCTAATCCGGCAATCAGTAATCCGGCACTAATTTCGGCCAACATAATTTCAAATTTCCAGGGTTGCCACACCAACATGCTGCTACTATTTGGTGGCACTACTTGCTGCATAAGTCACTCCAATTTGTTTTTCTCCATTGATTGTTATAACCTGCTCACTTTTAACCCTAGCCATGGTTCCAACAAATAAAAGAAATGGTTCTCATTGTGTAAAGCACATCGTACATTGTCCATAAAAGATAAGGTGGCTCTGAAGCCACTGTTGGTCACCATGAACTCAGCTCACTCAGATAAGCTGTGACTGGTAAATTTGGGCCTACATATGAGACAATAGGTCTGTGTGATAAATGTGTACTATATAAAAAATATCCTGCAGCATGCAGTGCATAATGAGAATAAACTGTGACCATGTTTATTTTGTAAAACAGTGACTTTGCAGTGTATTTTTCTATGATTTTTATGGTACAATGGAAGATATATTACAGAAATAAATATGATTTTGATTGGTTTCACAAAAGACAGTACGTGAAATTAAGCTCAAACTAACGGAAATGTGAGATTTTTGCTGATGTTCAAGAGTAAATAAATGAAGTCACTGTCCAATACGTGTCCAACTAGCCAGTCTAATATGCAGTCACGAATTTATATAATTATTACAATAATGCAGTAGTCTGTATAACAGTAAATCTTCTATATTTTGTGTGAATAAAAATTAAAAATGGAATGCAAGTGTAATATAAGAGGGGGCCTGGAGACATGACTGATGAACACAGAAAATGTTATTTTAATGCCAGGAATGTCTGCGTTGTTTATTATGGACCCTGTTTTGCAGTTGGTATTATTTGAAATTTGTGTGAAATTGACCAAATTACCAATTTCTGACTACTTTATTGGGTAGTTGAAATAGGTAAATGGGCAGTTTCTTGTACTCATTCGACAGAATAGAAGAAATACTAGCGAAATAGCTATGAGTTTGGTAGACTGGAACAGTGGAATGGGCCAAAAATAGAGCGTAAAGTGGGTGAAATTGCCAATG